ACGAAAACCCCCTTGTATTTCTGATAGAACATTCCTATTCTCTAAATAGTTGGATAAATGTTTTGATATGATTTTAGAAACGCATGAAGTTAAAGTAATACCCCTATAGTTGTTTAGATCTTTACTATCACCCTTTTTAAATATTGGTACAATAATACCTCTGTTCCATTCTTGAGGAAATTGTTCAAGTTGAATGCATTTTTGAAATAAGTTAAGTAGGGAAAGATTAATACATTGACCACCATTTTTTATCAGTTCATTTGTTATTCTATCCAGACCAGGGGCTTTATTATTTTTAGCAAGGGTAATTGCATCTTCAACAATATCAATATCAAGTACAATATCATATAAGAAATTTTGATCAATATCATCTAAACGAGGATACTCTTTAGAAAGATCATTTCTAATTTGTTTTGTAAGACCATTTGTGAGATATCCATTACAATCATTAATATCCTTATTATCTGAACCAAGTTTCTCCCAATATTCTTTCACTGTTTACAAGATGTCCCCCCTTTATTTGCAATGTCAATAGATTTTTGCACGCGTTGTTGTGATATTCTTTCCTTAATCATTTCCTTAACAATGTTTCGTTTATCATGATATGACCGCCAGAGATCCTCACCCTTATTTATATTAGTTGTTATCATTATTAATTTTATTATCATTTTTCGTAGCTTTGACCCACTTCCGGTGAAGGCGTGAAGCAGTTTTTCTTTCTTTAATGGCAATATCGTACATCAAAATCACGAGATAAACCGACGCAAACAAGTAGAACATAAACGTCGGAAAACGAACCCTAATTCGCGAAATGGAATCGTCCAACATTTTTGATCAGTATTTTGAACCACTCGTCGGCAACGCGAAGAGATTTTAATCCCCAACCACGCGTTGTAGACGGGTATACGCGTTGCTTTATTTTGCGAGGCTCCCTTATCACAATGTTTTTCCATGTTTCCCATGATTATTCAATATCAGTAGAATCATGAATATCCCAATACGTGAATTCTTCTTCTAAATATTCTTGGTATAAACTATTGTCTTGGTTGTGCTTAATGTCCCATACAGGATTTAGTTTATTTTGATTTGAATAAAGTTTATTCTTAATATTAAGAGTCAACCAAAGTAAGTTGTGGTCACTACCTAAACCAAATTTTCTTTCCTCATCAACAATTAGTGTTTTAGTATATAGTATTCTTAGAGCAAAGGAAATAGTCTATTGTACTTTGTTGGTTTCCTCTACACCAAGTAATTTTACCTTCACAAAATATTGTGCAATTCAAAATTGTTAGGTTAGCATTATTTTTAAACTATAGTATAGAAAACAACAATAGCGCAAAATCGTATGGCCGGACGCACTGTGATAAAGTTTTCCTGCATTAAGTGGAAAAAGAAGGGCGCCGTGTGCGTCTGGATATACTTAGCAACAGAAGGGCGCCCTGCACGCGATTTTTTTCCGTACGAAACATTTACATGAAACTCCACTCGGGCCGTCTCGACTGAATCGACTCGGGCCGAAAATCTCATATTGCAGAATTCAGGAGGTCAAAAGGTCATCAACAGATAAACGTCTTTGATAAACGTCTACAAAATGCAAAACAACTTCTGAGAGAACTAAACGTCGCTGTCTGATTTTTAAAAAATACATTGATGTTTCCATGCTAATAGTAATGGGTCGTTTAAAATGACATATATAAATATTTGATTGAGCTGCACGAGTAATGGAAAGTGTTATTTGAACTTGACTTAGATACTGTGACAATTTTATTTTTATTTTTTAGTTAGATCTGGGTTTTGCATACAATTTACCTAGGCCTACTAACTACTAAAAATACGCTTTCAGGGGAAAGCACAAAGAGGAAGGAATAGCGCGTTTCTTTCAAATGAAACAGGTTGACAGTTATTTTCAAATTAAGAGAAGAGCTGAGAATAGGCAGCTCTAAAATACTGGATGTCAAAGACCTGCCAAAATGGTAGAGCGGCACCAATGAATGTATAAATGAGGCCTAAGCCTAGTTATATGGTAAATAGTATCTGCGGGTTCTTGATTACAAGGCTAGACGAAGTTAATTAATGCCAAATTATTATTATTATTATTATTATTATTATTATTATTATTATTATTATTATTATTATTATTATTATTATTATTATTATTATTCATTATTATGTTATTAAAACCTACCTTAGCAACTTAGACAATGGAGAAATTAGAGAACATTAAAAAAAAAAAGACGTTAAGAGGATATAGCACAAAAGATATTCCCTTGAGCTAGTTATTAATTATAGGCCTAGTAAATAGGTTCTTGATTACAAGGCTTAGGCCAACGTAATGATGCTGAAATGTTATTATTATTATTATTATTATTGTTATTGTTATTATTTAACATTAATTACATTACAAGGATAGTTTGGCCAAGTTCAATAACGCCGGAATGGTATATGCACTCTATTTTTTATTTCATGCTTCAATTTTTCCCCTTTTTTTCAAAATTTCAATCAACGTCACTGTGAAGCGTGACTCTGTTGGTGTCAGCCTAGGACCCTAGCCAGGGACCTAGGCCTAGTTTAGGGAGGGCCTATGGTAGGTAGGACTTAACTCAGCCTGCTTTAGGCCTGTAGTTTATCTAATTCTTTCTGTCAGACTTTGGTGTACCTATCTACACTTTATAAAGGAGGGGTACTAGCTGTTGTTGTAGATGTTATACTAACATTTAATAACATACAAGAAAGTCACAGTTAGTTACACACGTACATCCCATAAATCCGTAAGATTTCATAGGCCCACCGTAGGTAAACATAGAAAGAGCAATAAAAGTATAACTCGAGCGTCACGACATTGCGAAGTGTCTGCTCTTGTTCCTCGTA